CAAATTATCTGAGCTTGAGCTTCATTATCGATCCTTCCAATGAGCAATCAGGGTTGATTTCCTTTAAGATTGACTGGTTTGACCTCCTAGCAGTCCAGGGGACTCTCAAGATTAAAAAAAAAATTAAATTAAAAAAAAAACAAATGATTACAAGAAGTCAAAATGTGGACTAAAATAAAAACAAAATAAAATATTAAATGAATGTTAATACTTTGAAATCCTGGTTCCAAAGCCTAGTTGTATCTTTAGGTTGGTTATTATTTTTGGATAAATTGAGACTCAGTTGAGACTGAATGGAGATGTGAAATTAATGCAAATCACTTTTGTGGTTTGGAAAATTGTTTCATGCCCCATATTCACTCTTGACTTCTCTGGTGGACATTAAAAAAAAAAAGGAAAAAATAATTTTAAAAAAACCTCAGATTTTTCCTTTGGTTGTAAAATATTCAGGAATCTCTTTCTGTGTTCATCTGACAGGTAAATGTGTTGTGTAAAAGACCTGCAAGTAAGTCATAAACCAACTTTCCTTTTCTCTGATCTCCACCCTCATAACTGCTATTATGTTGTTCTCCACTTCTGCGGTTTACATTTTTATGACCTGAAGAGCACTAGAAAATGCCTCCCCAACACTCTTCCACATTTTCTTCAGATCCCAAATGATCTTGTATCACCAGGCACTCTCTGGCACAAGACTAGACAGTTGAGTCAGCAGCTGACGAGGAATTCAGCTGGAGGTAGAACTCATTCTTGGAGGTGGCCTAAAAAATGGAGATACGGTTCTTCAAGGAAGAGCAATACCATTTGTTCCCATCATGGGAATGGGTTCCTGTAATCCAGGCCGGATGCTTTCCAAGAAGCTGTTGGAGCCAATGCTGAAGGCAGTTCTGAGTCTGTGTGGAGAAACCAGTCACTTTACAGACCAGCTTAAGAATTACCTCTGTTTCGTACCACTCCTGGGACAGATGACACAAGCTGAATGTCTGGGAAGGCCCCTTGGGAAACAAGAGTAGATGACCATGGATGTAAGAGCTCTGTATAGTCCAGAACAAATGGTGGTATCTAAACATCTTCTAGAAGATATACTTACATTTTTCTATCAACAGCAAGGAAAACAGAACTAAGAAGGTCTTCATTGTATATATAAAAATATGCTTTAGAAATAGAGGAACTCTGAGCCTGGATATAAGAGTAATATTAATAGCCTTTCATTTGAATACCACCTCTTGAGGCTCCAAGATCTAGCTCTTAAAGCAGTTTGCATGATTTTATCCTCCCATGATGCCTTAGAAGACATCCAGTGTTAAAGGGACAGAACTGTGACAGAGCTTGGTTACAGGGATATACTAGCACTGTATTAATGGTGGGAACTATCCATTAGGATAAAAAATCAGTCAAGGTCTCTGTTCATCTCAATACCTTTGAAAAGACTACTGAAAAATCACATTATGGTTGAATGGTCTCTTAGTGGGATGAGGGAGGGAATAAATCTAAATTTAATTCAATATACACTATATTTAGGATGCCTGGAGTGAACGTCCCCTCGGTTTTCAGAGAGAACTGTGCCATTTCAATGAGGTTCTAAGCAACAACTCCAGAAATAATCACTTTTGGAACTGGGATCTTATCCAAATAAACCCATTTCATTTGCTCCATCGATACTGGAATTTGCAGATGAGTGCTGCCCCCTCGTGTAAAACAGGTGGAGGAGAGAAGGAGAAACTTGTATTCTGAATAGGGGAAGTGAGGCTGGGGAGAGATGATTGAGCTCCAGTGGACTTCAGCAGATCCCGTAGAAAAGCTGAACACATGCAGCTGAAGCTAATGTTGAGCTTGTTCACGCGGCAGAGTGTGGATGGGGAATTCTGCTATAGCTTTTTTAGGGAGGAGGAAAGGAGGAGGTTTTTGTTATCACTGTTAAATTTCATAGAATTATGGAGCGAATGACTTGGGGGAAAAACGTTTTATATCATCCAAACAATCCTTAGTTCAAGGAATCCAGAAATTACTCTAAAACATGGCCTTCCATGATCTGTTTGAAAACGTGCAGTAAAAACAGTCTGTCAGAGTTCAAGGCAGAACTTTTTGCTTTTTAATGCAGTGTTTGGATGTTGACTCAACTTGGCCAGCAGCCATGAGTGAAGGAGGGATTTTGTCAGCCTTCAGCATAACTTCCTCTCACTGTGAGTCTCTAGCACAGTAATACACAGCGGTGTCCTCCAGTTTCAAGTTGTTCATTTGGAGATAAGCCATGCTGGAGGCATCTTGCCGAGAGATGGTGAAACGGCCTTTGACTGAATTGGCATAGTATTGGCTACTCCCATCACCATTATTATCTATCCATGCAACCCATTCCAGTCCTTTCCCTGGAGCCTGTCTCACCCAGCTCATCTCATAGCTGCTGAAGGTGAAGCCTGAACCTTGGCAGGAGAGACGGAGGGATTCTCCAGGCTTTTTTATATCTCCTCCAGATTCCACCAGCTGCACCTCCATTTGGACACCTGGAAAGGAAATATTTTTAATGTTAACTTTAACTCTCCAGCTTGTTCCAGTCCATTAACCTCAAGCAGAAAAAAAGACTTTTAGCTTCAATCTCTGAATGGAAGAACCATTACCATGGAAGACTGCTAAAATGGAAATGAGTTGGAGGAGAAATATCATCTTTATTTTTCAGTGCCTGAGTGAAGAAGTTCCAGGCAGAGTGGCTTTTGGTCACCAGCTCCAGCTTGAGGAGGGCAGGAGATGGTCTCATATAAAGAGGAAGGATGTCTCTGCATTTACATACACTTCAGGATAAAAGGGAGGCAGGTTTGCTGATAATAGCATCAAGACTTTTTGAAGAACCTGTAAGGTTGTAGAAAGGTTAACATGGCCAAGTGTATTAATTTTGCTTTATGACAGATTCTCATTCTTTCAAAGACCACATTGTCCTCCTTCTGTATAAGCTTGAATGTACTTTTCAGAGGAATTTTCCATTTAATCTACTTTGGGTCACATTTGTCTGTAAGGGCACATTTTGTTCATTGCTTCTTACCCATTTTTAATCTCCCTGTATTATAATGTATTTCAGACACCATCATGAATCCATCTATTTCTGTACATTAATTTCTTTTATTGACTTTTGTAGAAGCATTGCAAAAATTGGCCATTTATTAGAAGTGCTGCTTGTAGAGATATTTTCAAGGTATGCACCAAGATCAGTGTAGAATCATTCAAAGAGGCATAATATAAAGAATGGTAAGCAAATGAATACAACAAGTCAAAATGTGGACTAAAATAAAAACAAAATAAAATATTAAATGAGTTAATACTTTGAAATCCTAGTTCCACAGCCTATATGTATATTTAGGTTGGTTATTATTTTTGGATAAATTGATATTCAGTTTCGACTGAATGGAGTTGTGAAATTAATGCAAATCACTTTTTTGGTTTGTAATAGCACTCTGTGTACATATGTGTTATTTTCAGAAGACTAAGAAGTCTATAATGCTAGGAAAGGTGGAAGGAAAGAGAAAAAGATGATGAACAGCAGCAGGATGGAGCAACTAATTACCATGGGAATGGGTGCTCCATTGGAAGATCTGAAGGACCACTTTGAGAACAGACCATCCTGGAGAAAATTGTCTGTGTGGTTGCTAACAAGTGATACCAAAGAAGATGACACATAATCTTTTGGTCAATTCAAGATTGTATGATTCTTAATTCTAGTGTACCAATTCAACTTCTTTTTAATGAGTTAACTTGGAGAGCTGCTCAGAGGAAGAGAAGGTTCTTGCTTGGCATCAGATTCACTTCCTCTCACTGTGTCTTTCGTACAGTAATAGACAGCTGTGTCTTCAGGTTTCAGGCTGTTCATTTGCAGATACAGCTGGTCCTTCTCATTGTCCTTGGAGATGGTGAAGCGTCCCTTCACCTCATCAGAATAGTGAAGAGATGTGGAATCATAGCGTATATGTGCAACCCATTTCAGCCCTTTCCCATGAGCCTGTCACAGCCAATGCATGCTGTAGTCACTGAAGGTGAATCCAGAGGCTTGGCAGGGGAGATGGCGGGAATCTCCAGGGCTTCCCACATCCCCCCCCAACTCCACCCACTGGGACCCACGCTGGGAACCTGGAAGC